AGGCCCTGGATCTGTGGCAGGGGAAGGCCGCTGCTGGAGGAGGAGCCAGCTCTTTGACCTGCAGGCTACTCCTTGCTTATTCTGCATCTGAGACCCAGCTAGGAGCAGGCCGTGGTCTGTGGTCACTGCCTAGTCTCTGGGCCCCTGGGAGATGGCAGGCGGTGGGAGAGGCTAGGATAGCACAGACCCACACAGGGAAGAGGATCCATCTGTGCCATTTGCCCTGTGGGAGAAGCCCAGGCTCTGGCAAAAAACTGATAGTTTGGTGGAGACAGAGGGTCAGAAGAAACAAAGACTCTGGGTCCTTCCACTCCATCATCAAAGACCGGGAGGACAAGCTCTCAGAAGCCTCACACACCCCAGAGCCAACCAGGACTGGATAGAGACCTTAGCCCAGTACCCCTGATCCTCACCCACTGAAGAGAGCCACAGCCTTCTATTCCTGTCCAGACCTCCTCCCCTTCAAACAAACAATAACAACAATAACAAAAACTGGGACCAGCAGTTAGCGTAATGGCCATGTCGCTGGACTCCCATGTAGTTGACCGTGGTTCAAGTCCCGGACCCAGTTGCTTAAACTCATGCCAAGTGAATGTTCGTGCGTGCCCAAGATCCCGAGAGGAGAATGGAGGAGAAGGGATTGTGGCGTGGCCATCCCCCCAGGGGGGGTGATTTCTTGCTTTCTGTCTCTCTGTCTTTCTCTGTCTTTCTGGAGAGAGTGTATGCGCCCTATAGCAAAAACCTCACCAAAAATAAATAAATAAATAACAAAAACCAAGATGTTTAGTGATTAAGAATTGATCTCACGGCCAGCAGGTGGCATAGTGGTTAAGGCGCTGGACACTCCCACATGGCCTGCTGTGGTTAGAGTCCTGGACCTGGTGGCTTGCTTTCTCACTTTCCCTCTCTCTCTGCATGTGTCTCTCTCTGGTCAAATTAAAATAAAATGAATGAATAAATAAAATTAAATAATTCTTTTTAAAAAAGAGAAGAAGAAGAGTTATTGATCCCTTGGAGCCAGATTGCTTGGGTTCAGATCTTGGCTCTTCCACTTACTAGCTGTTAATAGCTATGTGACTTTAGCCCAGAGACTTAACTTCCCTGTGCCCCAGTTTCCTCATCTGCCAAAGAACATTATTATTATCTGCCTCATTGTTGTCCCAAGAATGAAATGAGTTTTTTTGGAGGGGAGGTGGGAGGAGTGGGAGAGTTTTTTGCTATAGGGCACATGCGCTCACCAGAAAGACAGAGAAAGACAGAGAGACAGAAAGCAACCCTTCTCCTCCGTTCTCTTGGAATCTTGGGCACTCACGCACACATGCCCGGTGCCACCAGGTCCAGGACTCGAACTACAGTCAATTATGTGGGAGTCCAGCAACGTAGCCATTATGCCAACTGCTGGTTCCCTGAGTTCAGTTTTTAAAATGCTTAGAATAGTGCCTTACTCGTAGTAGGACTATAGAAGCATTAGCTGCTATCCAGAAGCTCACCTGCTGTCTGACCTCAGTCACCTTGGCCACATTTTTAGGCCATCGCTTTTTGCTTTGCCCTGAATGAGAGCCCAGCAGCTCATTCTAGAATAAATCACTTGGGCCATGAGAAGCTGGAGAAGAGGATTCTTCTGCTTCCTCTTCTCTTTCCAGTTCATGGCATCATCTCAGTACCTTCGCCCAGGAGTCTAGGTAGGAGCAGATGGGAGAGGATGGGCATTGGGCTGGAGCCTTCAAAGGGGTTGCTAGCAGTTGGAAGAAGCTGCAGAGGAGTAGAAACTGCTCTAGGGCAGTGGAGCTGATGGGGAAGGAGGGTGGCCCCAGTTCCCGGGAAGCGTACCCTGTGTTTATTGCTAGTCTTTTATCTGAACACTTCTCTTATTGCTGGAGAAGTCTTCTGCCTTTTTCCAGGACACATGGCAATACTCAGGCTTCCAGAGGCAGTCCAGGCCTCTGGAATCACCCCACACACACTCTGTCACCATCCCCGCACACACATAATATGCAAAAGGGGGAAGCCCAAGGTTACATGGGTTAGGAGCTGGCCCCAGACCCAGTGCTCCTAGTTTCCTGAACTGGGAGCTTTCTCCTGAAGGGCATTTGGCTTTACAGCAGTCTTGCTGCTGAGAAAGAAACCCAGGTAGCCCACTTTCCAGTTCCTGTGGCCCTGTCCCCACATGGCACCAGGAAAGAGCAAGAGGCCAATCACCATCTTCTAGGCTCTGTCCATCACATTCAAGAGTAGGCCTGATGGAATCTGGGGAAAGGTAGCCCACTACTTGCAGAGAACACCCTCCACCCCAGGCAGCAAAGATGCTGTCCCCCACACCACCCTATGGCCTCTGACAGCTGCCACGACCACGTGTAGAGGTGACCAGGCAGGGCCTGTGTGGCTACCCTCTGCTTCAGGCATCTAGTCCTCAGAGAAGTCTAGCCCACTGAGTCTACCCCAGCTCCTGTGCAGGGCCCCAGTTTCGGTCCCGGCCCGACAGTCTAGGGCAGACGCAGGCACTGTGCCATCTGGCCAGCTGGAGGGGGAAAGGGGTGGGGCCATGGCCAGCTGGGCTGCCTGGAGCAGGAGGGGGGGCTCGTTAAGACGCACAATTAGCCGCACTGCCTTTGATCTGGGACAGGGACTGCCAGCATGTAAGTGGAGTCAGCTGCTGCTACAGGCCACAGCCAACGGCCAGGAAGGGGCTGGGAGAGGAGGTTTGGAGGGCAGGGGAGTGTGGAGGAGAGAGGATTCAGGAGCCAGTGAGAACTAGGAGAGGTTACAGAAGCTCAAGTCCTGCCCATTCAAGTCAAAGAGGGAGGGAAGGGGAAAGACCTGGTCTCCATTCCATCCATGCAAATAATCTGTGCGTGTTCTTGTACCTGGGTGGAGAGAGGGAGTAGTGTGTGTGTGTGTGTGTGGGGGGGAGACACTGAGGCTACACATTTGCATAACACAGGTAGGTGTTTGTACACATGTCAGTTTCATTTCTTGGAGTACTCCCCTCCCCCACTGTTCCAGCTCACCTCAGGGCACGTAGTGGGAGTTCCTGCTGGCCTTGCAGCTTGGGAGGCAGCATTGCAGGAGGTTGAATGCAGACTCTAAAGCCAGCTGGCCAGCATGTGAGTCCTGGCTCTACCACTCACTTACAGGCTGTGTGACTAATGGCAAGTTAGCTAACCTCTCTTAGCTTCATCTGTAAAACGAGGATGATAATCGGACCTTCCTCATGGCTTGTGTTTGAGGATCCTGAAGCACGTGTTTTTAGAATAGTGTCCAGCACGCAGTAAGTGCTCAGTACATGTTGGCTAACTTATCGGGTGGCATTAGAGTAACAGGACCTTAGGTGGTCCTGGGATATGAATGCCCATGCTTCAGTTTCCCTGAGAGCTATCACATATCCCAAGCCTGGAAGCCTAAGCATGAAACCAAGACTCCCCAGGGATGAATGTCAGGGGTGAAGGAAGGTGGGAGAAGAGAGGCAGGGCCCTGGAGAACAGACTGGACCTTCAGACTGCTGGTTTCCTCTGGGTGGGCCTTCTCTTTCCAGCTATTCCAAATGGGTCTAGGATTTAGGGAGGCAGAACCTAAACTGTGTGGGGGCTCCTGGGATCTACTCTGTGAATTCACTCCCCTCCACCCAGCCTCTACTGACCTCTCGGTCCCTCTGACTTCAGTGCCTGAGCCCAGCCCCAGCACCCCCTTCCCCGTATCTCCCATCTGTCCTGCATCCTGAGTAGGAGATGTGGGCTCTCTGCTCCTCACCATGATGAGTGCCGCTCTAACAGCTGTTCTGCTCAGTACCCAACTGTCTGGGTCCTCGGTACAAAAACCTGGGGATACCAGTGCCCTTGGTATTTCAACCCTGCTTCCCCTGGGCTGGGCAAAGCAGTTGGCCTGGGGTTAGGGCCACACCACAGCTTTTTTCCTGACACTTCCTATGCCCGACCCCAGGGCTCCTGTACCCCCTCATGTTCCACCTTCTCAGTCCACTCTCTGCCCGCCTCCTGCCTTCAGGAGAACCTCATCCCTCCAGTTGCCTTCTCAGGGAAGGTGTCAGGACAATGAGATGACCCAGCAGCCCGCACAAAGGCCCGCCTCCCCGCAGCAGTCTCTGCAGTTTAAACTGGGCCAAGTTCATGTTTCAGAGAACCCCACTGGCAGTCTGGGTCCGAGAGAGCTTGGCACCATGACAGCCCACTTGGGGACAAACTGAGGTCTCCTGACCTCCAGACGGTCAATCTATAGTTTAAAAAGCAGGGAGTTTCAGGGAAGACCCCAGACCAGGGTCCAGATGCCACCAAGAGTGGCCTCGTGGATTCAGATGGAGCTAGTCCTCAGACAGAGCCAAGAGGGACCAGGAAATGGGCCTGGAGGGCGGGGCTGGATGTGGAGTGGAGAAAGGGTGGTGTGGCCGCCAAGGCGGTCTTGTCCCCTCTGAGGAGGGAAAGGTAGAAATGAGGGTCAGAGTGAGGGTAGCCGAAGCCACCAGGTAGAGTGGTGTTGTGAGACTGAAAGAGGAGACAAACCCCTCCCCATGGCGGCAGAGCCCAGAGCCCGGTAGCCTCAGTCCTGCTGCTCCTCCCAGCAATGGGCGCCGCTGCCTGGCGCAGGTGAACCCAGGAGCGTCTGGCACTGCGCCAGCACCCCCCACCCCCGCGGTTCTACCGCTCCCAGTTGGCCCCCTAGCTCCCAAGACCCCAGGTTCATCCCCAGGCCTCATGCTACGCCTGGGTTCCTTCAGTCTAGAGGGCACAGGAGGACGACAGGCCAAGAAGGGAGTGTGTGCGTGTGTGTGTGTGTGTGTGTGTGTGTGTGTGTGTGTGTGTGTGTGTGTGTGTGTGTGTGT